GTGGCCTTGGGGGGCGGAGTTCCCCCCGGGGCCCGATTCCGCCGCGGCGGAAATCGGGCCTTCAAAGTGGGGGTTTCCCCGCCCCCCGCCCACACTTGGCAGCCCTACACCTACCTCACAGGGTGTCTGTTGTGGGGAGGGGAAGGGAAAGGAGTTTGTAAGCCACTCTGAGACTCCGAGTGAAGGGCGGGGTATAAATACAATCTCCTTCTTCTTCTAATTGGGCTTCCTGGTGCGCTTCCTGGCTGAGCTAGAATTTGAACCCAGATCTTCCTCATCAGACATTCTAATCCCTACAGCATTTTTTACCTTGTTGTCTGTCGAGTATGTTTTCATCCCATCTTCCCTTGAAGGAGCTCTAGGTGTGGTTCTTTTATCCTGATAACAGGCCTGTAGCCAGGATTTTGTGTGCAGCCAGGATTCTTTCTGGTGGGGCTGAAGTCCTCAGTGCAGAAAGAAAAGCCATTTAGCCAGTAGACAGCTGTTACCAGGACAGATCTCTAAACCGCAAGCTGTCAACCACTTTAGATGACAGTTCTCAGCTGCTGCAGGTTAATCACTTCTGCCAGCCTAAGCAACAATTCTGATAACAAGCCCTCCATGGGGGTGATGATTTTTATAGTCAAGAAAGCTAACACTTAAACAGAAAAACTCTCTTACAGGAGACCAGTTTCTTGACACAGAGTTAGAAGGGATCCTAGAGGTCACCTACTCCAACCCCCTTGCTCGGTGTGGGAATTAGTCAACTACAGCACCCCAGTCTGTTTCAAGGAACGCATGCCTTTAACAAAATCTTTTTAAAAAATGATTGGAAAAAAGCATTTACAGGAGAAATTCTTATGGAGCTGTGCCTCACTGTAGCTACGGGCCTGCCTGATAACAACCCTGTGAGGTAGGTAAAGCTGAGAAAAAGGGAGTGGCCCAAAGTCACTCAGTGAGCTTAGTGCTTGAGTGGGGATTTGAACTCAGGGCTCCCAGATCCTAGCCCAACCACTGTGCTGGCTCTCAGTTGCTTTCTCACAAATATGGTTGCCAGTTCTTGGAATCTAAAAATCTGGGCAGGATGGGCACATATCATCCAGAAGTGTCCAAGCCTGGAATTTGTGGGCAGGGCAGGCTGTCAATTTTTGGTCAGCCTGGGGACAGCACTATGTCCCAGATCTCTCTATTGCCCTGAAATCTATAACACTAATAATACAGAGGGGTCGGGACAGAAAGTACAACTACTACAAAGTACAAATAGAAAGGTTCCCCATGTTGCCTGGCTCCAAACCCTATTGACAAAATATAAACTGCCTGGATTCCTCAAAATCTGTGTAGTTTTAAAAGAGCAATCCTATGCAAAGTTACTGCAGTCTAAACCCACTGGTTTCAATGAGTAATTCTGTGTAGCTTCAGGTGGGTGGCTGTGTTGCTCTGAAGCAACAGCACAAAGTTTGAGTCCAGTGGCACCTTTAAGACCAACAAGGTTTAATTCTGCGTATAAGCTCAGGAAGATCTGGGTTCAAATTCTGCCTCAGCCAGGACTCAAACTTTGTTTTAATTCTGTATAGGTTTGCATTGGCAATATGATTTCCTCTGAACCAAAAGAGAAGCCAAAGGAATGCATTTAAAAGGGGTTGTCCTCAATTTTTATTACCAGTCAGCAGGACAGAAGATCCATTTTGCCAACATGCTGCGAAAACTATTTGCAAAATGGGAGTGTGCTTTCAGACTGGTGTCCCAAACGGCCTTTGGTCTACAAGGCATGTTTTCAGCTTTGCAAATAACCTGTTATCAGCACACACACACCCCACACACACACCTTCTTTGCTGTCTCTCGGGGTCAAATTGCACCATATGTGGGAGACCCATTACTATTTTGTCATGTTGAAAAAGTAGGGGGGGGGAGAGTTAGTTTTAATCAGAGTCTCACTTTCGAAAGGAAGAGTTTTAATCCTCCCCTCCCACATTCTATAACACACCGATTTATAGTGATGGAAATAGGAAATTAATTTAAAAACAAGTAAACAACAGGGACTGGCTGAAAAACTGGATGCACCTTTAAGACCAACAAAGTTTAGTCTGGATATGAACTTGTTGTGCATGCACACTTCCTAGGATGCAAGCATATACCCAGAATAAGACCTTTTCTTTTCTTTCTTTTTTTTTTGGTACCCAGAATAAAACTTTGTTGGCCAGGGGACTCAAACTTTGTCCTGCTGCTTCAGACGAGCCCGGCTACCCACCTGCCTCTAACTTCACGGAAGCCTTCCGGACGGCGAGGCATGAACCCGGAGGCGCTAGGGCCGGGCCGGGCCGCCAGGCTGGCCAGGCAGGCGAGGGGCGCAGTGCCGGGCGAGGGGCAGGCGCGGGTGGCGGCGGCAGCGGCCGCCGAGCTGCTGGCGCGGCGTGCTTCGTTGGGGTTCTCTGCGCTGTGGCTGGACGCCGGGCGCGTGTGACGGCCGGGGAGGAGAGCCCCTGGCCCGGCTGCTCCCCGCTCCATGTCAGCGTCCCGCCGCCGAGGGTAAGCGGCGCCCCGGACCGGAGACCGCCTCGCCCGCACCCCGAAGGCGTTGGGGGCGCCTCGCCTAGGATGGGCTGATGATGGGTTGCTCCGCGCCGTCTCGTCGGGAGCCGCCGTCGAGGATGCTGTGGGCGGGCGCGCTGCTCCTCTTGGCGGCGCTGTGGTGCGCCGGGGGAGCGCGCAGTTGCCCGCTGCAGCTGCGCGCCTGCAAATGCGTGGACGAGAGGCCGAAGGGGCTGGCCATGCCCGGCGCGCCCAGGAAGAGGGTCAGCTGCAGCGGCCAGGACTTAGGCGAGCCGCCGGCGCCCCGGTTCCTACCTAACGGCACGGTCACCTTGTGAGTAGGGGACGGGCTCCGCGAGGGAGGGGGCAGAGTTGGTTTATCAAGAGGCTGTGCCTTTAAAAAAAAAAGTGGGGCGGACGCTCTGTACGTGCTCAGAAATCTTTTCCTCACTGTGTAAAATGTGCGAGCAGAAATATTGGGTTTAAGTGCTCTTGCTGATGTATTTATGTAGACCCTAAATTCGCGAGGCCTGAGCAAGGCTGTTAACATAGGACGTCTTGGATGTCATTAAATCCATAGGGACTTCAAGGCACATATACATGAAAAGTGGTTTGCGAATGAATAAAATTAATCCAGTTGTATTCTTGCAGTTAAAGTACTCTGCCTATCCTCTGAGGTACACACCTCCTTTGTGCTTTTATTCAATGACATACTTGCAGCACAGTCCTTGGAATGTTTGTTCAGAAGTAAGTCCCCCCTATGTTCAGTGAGCTTTACTCCCAGGTAAGAGTTCCGCCTTAATTAGAGCTGCTTAATCCAGATGCCATATTCACCCCCCACCCTTTGTACCAATCTTGGTTGCCAAACGAAGGATATTTTACTGAGCCTTGAGAGAAGTGCACTTTGTACATGGTCAGAAGCATGCTTCTTCCCAGGTAATCTGATGTACAGAACAATGTCTAAATGGAGATGCCTAGGCCAAGAAATCTCTTTGATTGCCAATGGAACTCTGTATATGTTCAGAGATATTCCATTAACTGTTGTAGGTGTTCCATCGAGAGGGCTTAATTTCTAGAATGAGATGTATTTTCGGCTCCTGCTTGGGTCCTCCCACTAATGTGGGAATTACAGTGGAGGATTTGTCTCCTGTTTTGTGTTTGCTAACCTAGGAAATATATAGTGCTGGGACCAATCGTCCCTTTCAAGGTATGAATGCTGCTGGTTCTTTTTAACATCAACATATGATCTAATGTCATTCCTGGCTCCTTCACACTTTTTGCTGCGGTTGCACTTTCCATTTCCCGTTGCTGATTGGCTTGAGGGTGCTTTTTGTGAGAGATGCGTGCTTGTAACTCAATCCAAAAGTGTGCCCACTCAGAAGTAGATCCCTTTGAATTCAGGAAGGAGAACAAAATTTGAGACCAGTAATATCCTTAAAGACCAACTCCCCCCCCCCAACACATTCCAGGGTACACACTTTTGTGAATCAAAGCTTGTACTCTAGGAACTTTTGTTGATCTTTAAGACGCTACTGGACTCAAATTATGTTCTGCTGCTACAGACTACTATGATGGCTGCCCATCTGAAACGGTCTTTAATTCAGGAAGACTAACTTTGTGGGACATATATTAAGGATTTCACTTTTAGTCCTGGGTACCAGTGTTCCTTCTAAGCTGAGTTAGTGTGAGCTAGCTCACAGCTTCTTAGCCTCCAGCTCACACATTTTTGTCTTAGCTCAGGAAGGAGGGCCCCAGAGCAAACTAATCTATGCAGCAGCCAAATTGCTCACTCACAACTTTAACGCCAGGAGCTCACAAAGTAGGTTTTGCTCACAAGACTCCGCAGCTTAGAGGGAGCCATGCCTGGGATGCCAATCTGAACAAGGCTCCTAAGAGGACTGTGTGGGCTGCCCTGAGCTCCCTGTGGAAGGAGTGGGATGGATATTGGCCATGGAACCCACCAGGCAGGTGTGTTACTGGTCAGGCAAAAGAACTCGCCTGTTGTACTTTGCATTTGCACAGCTTTGGTTTAAACCAGGCTGCTGTCTGCGCAAAGCCAGTTCCCAGGCTTGATGAGAGTGCCAGAGACTGGCAGTGCAGGGGAGATGTTGTGTGGGTATACTCATCTTGCTGGCATGCTACTTCAGCATGCACAGCTGCTTTGCACAGGTCCCAGATTAAAGGGAAAGTTTTGTGAGGACAATTTTCTTTACACTGCAGTTTGTATTTACACATGCTTAGCCGAACACTAAATTGTTATTGGTCTGATATGAGGAAGGGACTTTGCACACTGCGTTATGCGGGTGTGTAATATGGGTATGATTTGTGGCAGGGTTAATGGCTTATTTTCTAAAAGCTGTGGGGCTAGGAGGCAAGTTTAGGCGGAAGTCCAGCCCCCTCTTTGGGACTACTCATCAGAGAGGGAAAGCACTCTGCTTATGCTCAGAGGCACATAACAGCTCTGTTCATTTTGATACCGTTTTGGTGCTCTGGCCTTGCATAATGAGACAGCCCACTAGCTGTCACCCTCCTGATGTTTGCGGGCACCGTTTTGTGCAAATGAGGCCATGCATGTATTTTATTTTGTTTTATTTATTTAATTTATACCCTGTCTTTCTCCACAATGGAGACACAAAGCAGTTCATGCCATTCTCTTTTCTTCCATTTTATCCTAAAAACCACCCTGAGAGGGAGGTTAGGCTGAGACTGTGGGACCGCACAGTGTCACTCTTCAGTGACAGAGTGGGGATTCGAACCTGGGTTTCCCAGATCCTAGTCTGAACTCTTAACTGCTACTCCCCACTGGCTCTCAGTTTTCCAGCTTTGGTACGCAGTGTGTGTGTGAGAATTGCTGATCCCTCACATTAGAAATATCAGGTTTTTAGTCTGCCTTTCCCCCAAGGATGGCATCAGTTGTCTCTTCCTTTCGCATTCCTCTTTAATGCTCGCAGAGTACCGGTGAGGAGGGCGAGGCTGAGAGATGGCAACGATGCTAAGAACACCCAGTGAAATTAGTAGAGCAGTTGGGATCTGAACCTGGTCCTCTGTAGTCTTAATCTGACGCTCTAACTGCTATAACTGTAAAACAAGCACAGACCTCTGAATGCATTGCTGCAGGGTTGCAGTGGAGGCAATGTGTCAACTTTGTGTGTGAGGAAGGATGTGGCATGCGTGAAACCATGTTGTGCTTAAGCACTAGATCCAGTATCGAGTTGCTTCTCTGTAGACAGCCCATATGGTACGGGACAAAAAGGAGAAATTATGCCCAGGGGATTTGCGATGCAAAAGGTAATTGGTAGTGACGGATCATTTTGCGTCAAGGCATTCTGGTCAGTCATTTGCTGTAAACATGAAATAATAGGAACTACAGTATTTGGGCAGTGAGGCTGAAAGCCCACACCGGCATGGTGTTTAGATGTCACCCTTTCCCTCCTGAAAATATTTCCCCTCTTTGAAACATGATAAGCAAATGTAATGAAAGTGGGAAGCGGGGTCCAAAGAAAGCAGTCGCTTCCTCTTGCACAGATGGGGAGGCGGGGAAGCCTGCGTTCACGCGAGCCAAACTTGGATGCCAGTTTTCCTTACACGGAGGAAGGGAAATTATGCCCGCAGGTTTCTTAGGTGCTTATTTTCAGGGCCCTTTGCAATCTGCAAGGAAATGTCAAAGTTAAACCTTGACTGAAAGACTGTGAACTCCTCAGTGTGATTCTTAGAAAGTTAATACTTGAATTAAAACACACAGAGTCTTGGAAAGCAGATGTCAAATGCAATGTTCTGCTTTGCTAGTGAGTCTTCGGGATGGGCGGCCCAACCCTCCGCATGTTTACTTGGAGCAATGTCCTGCTGTGTTCAGTGGAGCTTAGTCCAGGGTGCATAGAATTGCAGCTTTCAGTATGCTGGCAGGTGTAAAGGGCTGGCACCAGAGTATCCCAGGGACCATCTTCACTCATCTGAACTCACTTCACAGTTTCAGATCAGTCACCAGTGGTCTGTTTCAGGTCCTTGCCCTCAGGGAGTTGAAGTTGTGAGCAAGCAGGCTGGGCCTTTTTTGAGACTCTGGAACTCCCTGCCCCAGGAAGACAGACTGCCCTCTTGTTCCTTGGCCTTTCAGTGATGGGTAAAGACTTGAGAGGGAGGAGATTTTGGTGGAGGCGGCATGAAGCCATTCTCTGTCTATCTTTTCCTGTTAATTGCTAACTTTAATCTCTCTGCTGGTTCAGTCATCTGAATCAGTCTGTTTGTTTGTTTTGCTCACCTGGTTTTTATTGCTGCCTTTGGCTTCCTTCTGGTAATTTGGATGCTGTGGTTTGTCATCGGGGTTTGGAGGGTGAGTTGTGGGTTTTTGTAACTGGTTTAAACCTGGTAAGCCATTCCGTGTGTTGCTTTAGTAAAAGGTAAGTTAAAATAGGAACGGGGCTGTGGCTTAGTTGTAAATAATCTACTTTGCATACAGAAAGTCCCAGGTTCAATCCACGGGATCTTCAGTTGAAAGGATTAGGTGGGAGGTGATACCAAACGTGTCCTCCCGAAACCATGGAGAGCTGCTGCCAGCTAAAGTAGACAATACGGACCTTGGTAGACCTGTAGTCAGACTCAGTTAAACACTTTAGCTCAATCTATAAAGCTGTGTCATCACTGCAGGACTTTAATCCATTCTGGGTGATCCCGGGCATGAGATCAGACGTAGAATGGGCAAGGGATGTGTGATGCAGGATTGCTGTGATCAGAATCGCAAACGTTTTCCTGTAATGATTCTCTTTGAGGCCATAGAGCAGAAGGGAGGGTTAACCCTTTCTTCTTGCATTGTTTCCTTCAGCCAAATTGACACCCCCCCCCCAATGGTTTCTGTGCTTCTTCAAAGTACAGTTATTCAAGATCTGTCACTTCCTTCCAAATTGACATTGTTGTGGAATTAAGTTGTGGAATTAAGTTTTCTTCCAATTCCTGTTTTTTTACTTTTCTTGATTCCGTTTGGGTTTCCGGAGGTGTTTTTTTTCCTTTAAATCCTCTTTTGCTTGTTTGGAATAGTCAACTCTTGCTCAGCCGAAGAATGACTCACACGTGAAACTATATGATTTGTGGCTTTGCCCGCATGTGCTTGTGTTAATTAACCTCAGTGGACGTCAGCATGGGCATTTGCTTTGGAGAGTAGCTTTGCCGCGTGCAGGAAAGTGGAGTCCATTTGAAATCTCTCTCAGAGTGGCTCGTGAAGTTCTTGCAAATTGTTTTCTGGACCGTTTAGGAGGTTCCTTTAAATCTGCATCTCTGTCTCTTTCATCTGTATGGTGATGTTACACCATCCCCCATTCACTATACTGAAACAGTAATGTTTTC